CAAAGACTCCGATGACTTACACCGAATTGCCATTCAGGTTAACTGGAGATCGTGAGCAATCAAAGTATGCATAAAGGCCAGTTGAATCGATCCTTGAAGTCTTCTGGCCATCGTTCCTGACTGATACGGTCATTCTTTTCCGAGATAGTCTTGTTAATCGTTGTATTTCTAATGCCAGTTTCCTTGGTATGTCTGAACAGTTGTCTACTGTTGCCTATCGCCACTCCCTTTTCCGTCTCTCTTGCTCTCGCTACCCACCACTGTTCGCGATCATTGCAAGGCATTTATCAGCAGACGCTCAAGTAACTTCGCTCTTCATCATGTTCAGTGCCAGTCAGGATGAGTTTCCGAAGATCCATAAGTTTGGTAGATGCTACTGAGATTCAATGCTTCTCCCTTTCCTTACATGCAGATATCACTGCTGTTTTCACTGCTTTCAGGATATCCTGTAAAACTGTCTCAGGGTGGGAATATCTAGCATGGTCGCCTAACTGCTTTTCTAGTTGATGCTGAAACATATTTTTAGCCTCGCTATCTTTAATTTGAACCCTAAGAGGCTTTCTCGCTGTATCTTCCTTACGTCCAATAAGCCGTAAGTAAATACGCACTCGCATTAGAGCATGAAGTGAATCTAACATGTGCTCCAGTCTTTAATCGGACCTCTCCAATGGTGGCCAATAGCGATATGCTCCAGTGACCACCGAGCATAAAGGATAACTGCTTGAGGCCGGTCACTCACGGCCTTTTTATGTATTTGAAGTGTTAGCTGCGCTCTTTTCAAAAAGCCTTACCGCTAAAGACCGAAATCTGTGAGGTAAGATGAGGTGGGACATTTTTAGGCAGCATCGCGGCAGATGCTGTTTGTCCAAGGGGAACACCTTACTGTTGTCACACACGTCTACATTCGGCAGTACGACTTCGCCCTCAGACCTTGAGTTGTTGCTTTTAGTCTGACCGTTCTCCATTCGACCTGTCTGGCGTGGTAGGACCTACAGAAACACATGTTTCATGCAATATAGCTTGGTTGTTTCATAACGATAAGCTAGCTCGAGCATCAAGTCAAGGCGTAGCTACGGTCGGGTTCTAAATTACATAAGTAATGATTAAGTCTAATGAACATTTCGAAATATAATTTGCATTTGGGTGACTTACGAAACTGGTATCTTTCAGTCGGCAGTTTCTAATGATGTTTGTTTTAATACTCAATGTTTTGTAGATAGGCTTGGTATTTTATCCACTAAGTAACATTAGTGATTTTATTACTTATTCTGTGATTAGGACTAATAATTCGGTATAGTGTGTAGCCATCAATCTGTTACATCGTATCGTTGCGTTTGTCTGATGCTTAACAATTTGTCCACCTATTTTACTAATCCAAAGCTTGTTCATAAAGTATTAACCTATAAGATGATCGAAAATTCCTAAATCTTTCTTATGTGAATATTTCATTAATATATGGTTTTTAGATGTACTTTTCCCTCCCTTTACACTTGCAACAAAACAGAGAATAAAACATCCAAGTCTAATTTGCCTTTAAATGTAAAATCTCAACACTAGACAATGATTGGGATGGAAGTATTAGGTGGTTGGTCTGTAAGCCAGTGGAATCCGACAGGTTATCTCTACATTGTTCGATTAAGACATTACTCTGGCTAGATACGTGAAGAAAATGTAAAAGCCTGGAAGTTGAACTTGAAAATGTTGTACATTAGAATAGCAACATCTTCAGTAAAAGTAGCCTTTTGTTTCAGTTCGAACGTATTTGGTTTGTCCATCCAGACTAAATCAACTTACAAAAATAATTACATGCATAAAATACGGATACAGTAATTCCTCTAATACTTTTAAAACAATCACCTGTGTAAGACATATGGGCCATTTAATTTAAATTCGTACTCAGATAAGATATTTAAGTCTCTTTACATATCGGCAATCAGTCTAACCAAACATTTATTTTTCGTCCGAATAAGGCCTTGATTAAGTGGATTCATAATGTATAATCGAAAAATTATCTTCTAATTTTGCCATTCTAAATGATTTATTCAAGAGTTCATCATTTGGAACAAGATCAATTCACTATGATTGTTGTGTAATAAATAAATCAAGTTAAATACTGAATTTATTCAGCAAACAAGAAGATTTTAAGTGACAATCTAAAACACTCGAATAATAAGGCGAACTGTTTATGAAATCCAATCATACTATTGTATTATCATGCATAAAATGAATATCAATCTTATGAGACTTACTTCAAAAGAACCATATACTTGACTACCTTCACTAGGCCAATATTTCACTGAAGCATCATTCAATTCAAACTGATCAATTTCATCCATTCTTTTTAATTCATCATTACGTTCTAAGCAAACAATTACAACACAACCTTGTTCCCAAATCATTAACCAAAAATCTGGAACTGAACTAACTGTCGGAGTTATTGTAGCAATATAAACAGGATTTCTTGGATTAGTGTCATACTGAGTAGAAATAAAATGAGGTATTTTGTGTTTAGTTTATGTATCTACGTATTACTAAATAATAAAATCTCAGCAATATTAATTATTAAGTATATAGAGAAACCTTTCTACAGCTGATCAATAGTCGCACATCATTAGTATTTCTAGTTAATAATATATAACCTAATTAATCTTAAATTCAGTTATTAAAGATTCACATTTCTTTGTGTTAATATCTATCAGCTTGTTTTATGTAAATTATTCATCCACTTTGTTATTAACAAATAATATAAATCAGCTTTATTTGAAAATACTACTAAACTGTGTTGAAACTGAGGCTAATTTATATGAATATTATGGTCCAGTACATTAAATGATGCTTGAGCCTTTTTCGTCGCTTCTTGTGCTGTTACCTTTTTGTGAAATAATCTATACTACTGAATAATATTGAGTAACCAATATAGTTTTCAGATATTTTGGACGCAGATTATCATGTCTCTTCATTGATCTAATATTTCACCATATTTATACAAAAAGTTAACAAATGCAAGGTATGCACAGAAACATGATCAAATATGCTGGATAATTGAAGAAATGAGTTTTGTAGGCTATTCACTGTCCAGTGAATCAAGTTCTAACCATCAATAATTATGTTCCGACATACCTATTAAAATTGCATTCTTTGGATTTCTTGTTTGTTCATCGAAAACTTATTTATTTATAGTATTTTCTATATTTTATCTGCCTTCTCGTTTCAAATTTGGGCTCTAATCATTGTATTTACACAAATCTTACCCGTTACCTGATATATCATATGCTTCTATAAATAGTTATAATGTAATTATTGCAAGAAGCACTTCCCTCTTTGATTGTACACCGATACCTCACGAATCAATGCTTTTAAAATACATTACCTATGTTATTATAACTACTGACACTGTATTGTCGTCTAATATTATTTTGATTTCGGGATTTTACGGTTCACTCGTTCATTCCGTTTAAATCATCGAGACAGTGAAACTTGTTTTACACTTTATATGGATTGAAATATACATCAGATAAATTGTTAGCATCTAGTTCATTTGAAATTTTTCAGATTTATACTGGTTTTACGTGAAATACCATCTAGAACAACATGGCAATTTAAAGTTTTCAAAGTTTGTAATGATAATAATAAAGGATCCTTTTTGCCATTTAAATCCGAAGGCTCTAAGGCATCATAAAAATATAAAGATAATTCCCAGTTTAATACAGCTCACATCTTAAATTAAGTATCATTTAAAACTAAGCATTTTGTTTAATGAATAACTACAATGATTTAAAAGTATTACACTATTCGGTACAATTAACACAACTTTGAAATAACAAATTTCTTAATCAAAACTATTGTTCACTACTTTACAATCGATGTGATTTCATTGTTTTGTAATCTTAATACTCCATCGTGAAAAGTGTCTAACATTTTTATTTTAAGTGAATCTTAGGCTGTGTTTTTTTTTATTCTAGCAAGATTCATCTTTTAAGCTTAGTTGACATATTTTGCTGTAATTGGAAAAAATTAATGCGTCAGTTTAAATATTTGTTCTAAACAGAGAAATAGTGGTATTATTTGTTAAATGAAATGAATGCACCCTACTTAACTTTAAACTAATATGAATGGATTGATTGTTTCAAGGCATTTTTCACTGTTCATTCTTCTTTTTAATTTACGGTTGACAGTAATCTTTTAGAAATTGTCTATTATGCCTGTTTCCAATGAATCTAATTATCAGTCATTTGAATAATCAAAAATCTGATTACAATGCCTTGTAATAATCATATGATACTTACCAGTAAACTGGCATTAATGTAATCATTATCACCAGATCGAAGTTTAACTCGAGATTGTTCATCTAAAAATTATAATAATGATAATAATAATTAAAAGTATGTGTGATCAAAATGATAACTTTGAAATTGTTTTAAACATTAAAATACTTTTCTCTATCAAATAATAGGAGTACACAAATCTTAGAAATAAAGACCGGCTGTTACGTAACAAAACGCAAAGTAACTAAAATTTAAAAAATGTCTCTTCCTTTGATTTGACTCTATTAGTGTTAAGTAGTGCTGTTCTCATCAAGAAATCTTAGAGTCTTGAGTTGTATGTGTAATACTGAAAATTAAGAGATGAAACGAGACAGCTAATTTTACACTTCCAAATAATCGAATGTCAATTCAGGGCTAGTTGAATACAGCTGAGTACCAATCAGTAAATACATGTAGAAGAAATGTTTTTTACAACTTATAGTAGTAATAATTATCATTAATAACTTGATTCAATATAATGTGTAGTTAGTACAATATGAAATTCTCAATACAATTATATGAGAAACATACATGGTATTGGTGCACCTTCTCGATTCTTAAACCGATTCATTGGATTTTTACCTTCTTCATATAAAACATTTTCTTCAGATACATATTTATCAATTGAATTCCAATCATCTTTTAGTTGAATTCTATCTTGTAAATGTTTTTCCATATATGACTAGATTAATGTAAAGAAAAATGTTTGTTATTGAAAATTTAAAACTAACACTTCTTATTGAGTCTGACTTAAAGCTAAAGAAGAATAGCAGTGCATAATAAAAGGTTACAAACCAGAAGATCTTAAACGATTTGATACATTCATACACAATTTATTGATCATCATTTTAATCATCATCATCAGAAGAAGAAGTGGAACATTTCATTCATATTTTTAACTTTGTCTTCTATTTGAGTTCGAAATCGATCTATAAAAAGACCTAACATATATAAAAAAAAACATGAATAGTGTGCAGATCTTCCAACTACCAGCTACCAAACATCAGAACAGCATGAAATAACAACAAAATAAATAGTCAGAATGTTAAGTTAACATGATGTATGATGACTAGTACACGACAAGAAGTCACAACATCTGAGCTACAGACCATTTCTTCCAAAACAAATATCTCATCTCATCTCTCTAAATCGAAGAAATGATTTGATATTTTGTTAAACGATCATTAAATTTAAAAATTCAACCAAGTCCACCTGCCTATTATTACGAAAACTTCTGGTCCACTACCGAGGCAACTACTTTAGTAATCATTGTAATGTATATATATAACAGGATCCTGAGACAACGTTCCCATTATTTTACAATAGATTTATTGTGATGCAGAATAGAGCATTGAAAAGCGTATACATAAAATTTAATTGAATCTAATTTTATCTTGTTGGATTTTTTAAAACTTAGCTATTGATGCAAAACTGTGGAAACATTTAGAAAGTAAAATAAAACATATGAATAAGTTAATGAACTTACTAAAATTAAATGTCCAGTTGGAACATCAATATTGCATGGGATTGGTTCACTTGACCTAAATTTCAAATTGAAATATTTGTTTGAATAAATCAGCTTATAAATTAAAAATCTACTTTTTTAAATAAATGTCTTAATATGAAAGAGAAGAGAAATGATAAAAAAAATCAGATTTTATGTTTATTTTTTTTTTTTTGATAGTTGATGAAAGTGATTGATAATTTATTTTGTAATATAATCGATTACACATTTGAAATCATCAATCAATCATTGTTAGACCACCATTAGACACCTGGAAGCACTGGAAGGCCGTTTCGCCCTGATATGGGACTCATCAGTGGCAGTGCGCATGATTTCAAATGTGCAAAAAACACAAACCTCCAAAACTCTGCCCTAAAATAATCGGTTACTTCTAAAATATTTTAGTTATATGTAGGTTAGAAATAATTAACTTATTGAATGCTGATGAAATGAAAATATTTTTAGCTTTTAATTGACAAAATTGATAAGTAACACATTTATATTGCTAGCATTATATCAATAATAATGAAATTGATGACATACAAAATGTTTAATATTACTAAATAATTTAGAGCTAAATAAACAAGACCTTACAAACAGTATTAATCACTTTTTATTAGAATAATTTATTTTATTCTAAAAGATTCCCACATAAAATTTAAAAACACTGAATATTTAATAAAATCAAATCTTATGTATATGAGAGAAATAAATGTTAAAAGATTATTTAGGGACAAGTAAGAATTATGACAAATGTTTTAGTATGCTTCAGGTGACAGCAATAATTATGTTTTGTAATAAAAGAAAGTTTAATTCCCTATTAAGAATGTTCCATAACGAGAGGACAGAGAGAAGTGACATAAGTAAAGCACAACTGAATCAAAGGTTTTATAATCCCTGGCTAATATAACTATCTGCGGCAGAAGTGAAATGATTCTCCTATAGAACATGGTAAGAAAAGTAATTAGATAGATTTCTTTTTGACAAAAGACTAATCTTGAAATAATTATCCAGTGAAAGAATCGTTTTACTGAGTCGTTTCCGCAAATCAATAATATATTAGTATCGCATGCAAAAAATCCTCCATTTACATATAACTTTGACGTAATGGCTATTGAAAAAAGATAACTCCATTTGTGTAATTGGTGAACTTTTTCCTAATAGACTAGAAATGTGGGAACAAGCAAATGTAGGAGAACCTCGTTTGACATATGGAAATAGATTCAACGTGGAAGTAAACTGTTACAGACAATGAAATGACTCCATAAATAAAAATTCCATTCAGTTAATAACATTAGTCTATGACATAATTACTTATCGTCTTAATAGTTGGCTGCAACATAGAACTTGGTAGATACGTATATCAACTCAAGTTACCGTACATCATTAGCACTCACAGATGGAATTGTCAGTTCAAAACCCATAGTAGTAGAAGTTGTAGCAGGATCATCGAGGATGGAAAAGATTAGGGGCCATAGATATGATTCGAGAGGTATAATCCTTACTTATTTACGCCTGTTATCCCCAATGGAACATAGGCTGCCGACCAGTTTTCTCCAACCAACTCTGTTCTCAGCTTCCCTTTCCGGTTCTTTCCAGTTTTCGTTCATTCTTCTCATATCTTTCTCTATTTCTCAGCGTAATATGTTACTTGGCCTATCTCTTTTCCTTTTACATTGAGAGTCCCAAGTGAGGGCTTGTTTTGTGACGCACTTGGGTGCTTTCCTCAGTGTGTTTCCTATCCACCTTCACCGCTTCTTCCTAAACTTCCTAATCCACTGGAATCTGGTTTCTTCTCTCCCACAGTAAATTGTTGCTGATGGTGTCTGGCCAACGAATCCGAAGTATTTTGCGAAGACAACTGTTCATAAATACATGTATCTTCTGGATGATAGCTTTCGTAGTTCTCCTAGTTTCCGCACCATATAGTAGAACTGTTGTGACATTTGTATTAAAAATTCTGATTTTGGTGTTTGTTGACAGTTGTTTTGATTCCCAGAAGTTTTTCAACTGCAGAAATGCAGCCCTTGCTTTGCCAATCCGCGCCCTCACATCTGCATTGGATCCACCTTTCTCGTCGGTGATGCTGAAAAGATATGTAAAGATGTTAACGTCCTCCAAGGCATCTCCATCAAGCGTGATCTAGTTGGCGCATGTTGTGTTGCACTGCAGACTTTTGCCTTTTCCTTCATGTATGTTGAGACCTGCTGCTACATTGGTTGTCTTCTCTTGCATTTGTTGTTGCGTGTGCCAGATCATCTGCAAAGTCCAGATCGTCCAGCTGCGTCCTAACTGTCCAGTTGACACCGTGCTTCCATCCAGATGTCAACGTCTTCATAATTCAGTCGATCACCAGGAGAAAGAGAGAGGGTGAGAGTGAGCGACCTTGCCTGACACCGGTCTTCACTTCAAATGAGTCTGTCAGTTGTCCTCCGTGCATGATTTAGCGGTTTATGTTCACTATATTCTCTGGAACGCCGTAGTGTCGAAAATACCTCCACAGTGTTGTCCTGCCCACACTATCAAATGCCTACTCGTAGACAATGAAGTTCCTGTAGAGTGATGAGTTCCATTCAATTGATTGTTCCACAGTGATCCGTAATGTAGTACACGATCGATCCTTACGAAATCCAACCTGTTGATCTCGAAGTTGGGCGTCTACGAAGTCCATTCTGTTTAACAATACTCTGTTGAAGACTTCGCCTGGTATTGAGAGTAGAGTGATGCCTCTGTAGTTCTCACACTTGCTGAGATCGCCTTTCTTTGGTATTTTGAAAAGGTATCCTTCATTCCAGTCTGTTGGTACTTGGTATTCATCGCAAATCTTTTCGCATTCGCTTCCGCGTCTGCTTTCACTGCCTTTGTTGAAATGTTTTATGGTCCCTCTGCTTTGCCGTTCTTGATTTGTCTGATGGCCATACTGATCTCTTCAATTGTAGGTGCACCAACATCGATTGGGAGGTCCGTAGATGCTTCTTCGGTGTTGGGTGGGTTCAGTGGAGTTGGTCGATTCAAGAGTTCCTTAAAGTGCCCTACCCACCAATTTCGCTATTCTTCAGTGTTGCTGATTACTTTGCCCTCCTTGCTTTGCACTGATCGTTCTTGTTTACGATAGTTTCCAGTGAGCTTCTTTGTTGTATCGTACAACTTTCCCATGTTTCCTTCTCCTGCAGCTTTTTCTGCTGTCATTGCTAGATCTTCCACATATTTACATTTGTCGGCTTTGATGCTCCTCTTCACTTGCCTGTTTGCTTCTGTGGATTCAGCTTGTGCATGACTCTCTTCTCTTGTTCAACTGATGTCGATTGCTGCCTTCTTGTTCCTTCTTTCTTGAATTTTATTTAGAGTACCAACAGAGATTCATTCCTTGTGATGGTTCTCCTTGTGGTCCAGAACCCTTTTGACATACCGAAGTGATTGGACCTTTTCTAAGTCCTCTCTTCTGTTGTTAGAAGGCAGCATCACTGCAAATGCTGGTTATACGAGGGAAACATCTTGCTGCTGTCATACCCCTTTACAGTTAACAGCACGGCCTCTCCCTCAGACCAATAATTGCTCTTCTAGTTTTATAGTTGTCCAACTGACCTACCTGGCATGGTAGGACCTAGAGGAAGGTTTGTTTCAACCATCATGATATGCAAGTACTAGCATCACCTCAAGAAATTAACCACAGTCAGATTTCTTGTTACAGTAATGCATTACCTATAGATTAATAATAACAGAGAATGAAAATTATTTAAATGTTCCTGTAAAAATGTATTTCCATTTAACCTTAAAACTAATTACACTAAATTATTTTATGAATGGTAATCATAACATAAGAACTATGTATTCTTGTTTAATAAAATGCGATCACCACATGAAAATCACACGTTTCTTTAATAATTCTAATAAAATGGTAAAAATTTAATTCTTTTTTTTTTATAAAACTGATACATCAAAAAGTAATAATAACCGACGTCGGTTATGATAATAATATTGTTTCACAATATGAAACGCCCTAAAAAAATACATGATAAGTAAAAATGAGCAGAAACTATCCGAAGAAAATAAGTTTACAAAAAAAATTTTCTTTAAGAATGCTTCTTTGAATTAATTTACCATAGCATAAAATAATGTTCTTATTTTACGAAAAAGATAAATAAAAATTATTAATTATTAAATTAGTTCATTTTAGTTTGACGCTTTAGATTAGAATACTATAGTATATGTGATTTTGAAAGTAGCGTAAAGTGATAATAACTAAACGAGAGAAAAGAAAATAATGAGAGATTTTTAAATGTACGTTTTCAAAAACCAGAGAACCAGAGCAACTACATCCGCATCAATAAAGAATTTAGATAATCCAAGCAAGAGGTGCGAACGAAAAGGAGCCAATATCACTTCAGATCAATACGTAGGGATAACCAAGCTGAAACTGAAGTTAAAAAGGTAGTGGAAAAACAGCACTACAAAAAATGTCATATAGACCTCGAAATACTAACGGACTTAGTAAATTCCAAATAGCTCTCACAAGTGATTTCCAAACCTTATAAGATCTAGTGAAAGAAGATTAAACTAATAAGGATAAAAACTGAAAAAGGAATTAGAGAAACAATGATTCTAACATGTCATGAGGTTTAGAGTCAAGACAAGCAGCGTCATCAGAAATAGATCATTCTTGATTAACTGCATAAGACTGAAGACAAGAAAAACGAGAAGGCAGCAATTAATAACAGCTTAACAACAGCGTATAAATCATAGGTACAGGCCAAATGAACAATAAGGATTCAAGCGGGTTAGCGAAATAAATAAACCTGATAAGTAGAATTATATGAAAGATCTGTAACCAAGTACATAAAAGCTGGACGTTAGATAAACATGAGTCGGTCGGTCAGCTAGCCATAACGTAGAACTTGGTACATAAGTATATCAGCTGAAGTTGCCGTACACCATTAGCACTAACACATGGAATTCTCAGTTCAAATCACATAGCAGTAAAACTTGTAGCACGATCATCGACGATGGAAATGATTAGGGGTCGAAGTTATAATTCGAGAAGTATAATCCAGTGAAATAAATTCAAAAAGAGTAAAAAGGTCGTGAAGAATTCAGCAGATTAAACTTTAGGAGAAGACAAACAATGGATGCATTTGCGCCACTGCAGACGATTATGGACCATGTTATTCAGAGCCTCTAACCACCAGTGACGCTAGTCTCGTGGACGCCGAGCAGATAGTATACATTTACCAATATGGTTCAGTCCACTTGTGAGCAATTTCACACACTGGTAACGTATTTTGGTTTGGCCGTCCCTCGCTTTCTCACAGCCTACTCCTACATTAGACAGCATCGCCTATCAAGGTAGCAAGGGGTTAGGCATACGTAATCAATCCTGATAACAGTTCGACATAAGCTGTCACTGCAGCAGTAGTGTTCCAGTAGAGAGACTGTACAAAATACACCTTTCAATCATAGACACTCACAGAACCTCACAATCAACAGTCAGATGCCGCCTTAACGTCATAGAATACAACTATTTTAGAACGTCGAAATATGTATCTATGCTCTAGAACCTGATGAAGTGTGAATATTTAGTCTATACATCCACGTTCAGGTCTGAAACCAGCTTGATTTTCTCAAGTCTGCTCTTCAAGCTATCCGATTAGGCATAGATGCATTATTTTATTTTATATTACAGACACTATATTAGTTAAACTGTGACGTTCGGCGATTGAGATCAGTCGGATGAGATTATGTCCAGTTACCAGATTCTAGCTGATATCTCAGTCAATCTAAATGCTGAACTGAATAGTTATTCTCAAAATCATCAGGGGCTAATCTATCAGAACCTGCTACTCTCTATCAGGTAAGAATGTCGATACTTTTTCAGGTATATATATAGAATAACTGTATATTTATGAATATATTACATAAATACAAATTGTTAGAGATTATTTATTTTTAAAAATTATGTTTTAGGCCTCCACTTGTTGATTCCTTAAAGCTTTAACCACAGTTAACAGTATTCCAAATTTTCCTAAGAATTTACATTATCTATAACTCTGTTCTGAATGTTAGTGAAGATTTTTTTTGAAAATTTGAAAGCAACAGATCAAAAACAGATTATTTTAAATTATTTAGAAAGCATAGACAATGAGGTTATTGAACTTCACAACAAATATGTATGTGTATAGTAAACATTTATACAATTAGGAATTGTTTATTGTTTTTACAAAGAGGTGCTTACTTACTTATTCAGCATGAAAATATCTGTATATGCTAATGATGGATCTTTTTCACTGCTTTGAATTGGTTCTGATAATTTTTTTTCATCAATTAATTTTTCCGATAATTCATGAACATTACTTCCGTTTTTGGTGATCATACGTCTAACAACCCACATTGTATTTGTAGACAATAACAATTCACTTTCAACTGGTGCATATAAGGTTTTATTATTCTTAGACTCGAAATGTTCCGTTGATTTATCATTTTGTATTTCCTGTAATTCATTCTGTTTCATGATTCCATTAGAAGAATACTTTACTACTTTTGTAAATCTCATATACGTGTATATAAGCCTAATTCCAAAAAGTGACCAATTAATTGTTTTGAATTCATAAATCAATAAAATTAGTCAATATTCAGCCACATCTATTAAATTTCATAGGTTATTCTTCTGTTCTATTATTGTTTATTTGCACTGAGCACGCGTGTAAATTTAAATTATTGTTTTCTTTGAATAGATTGGTCAGTTCATGTAATCATATTATGGTTAACAAAATACTATATCATTATCATAATCAACATATTTAATATATATTTTTTTTAAATTATTAACTTTATTATAGTTCTACTTCAAAATGAAAGCATGTGTCACAGTGTATATATTTATGTGATAACTTGCCATAAATACATTCGAAATGGTTTAGCATTACCAATTAGTGAATGGATTTTATTGAAACCAAAATAGTACGACAATATTTACTGTCTATCGGTAATTAATCTAAGCATTTCCTGCCTAGTTAGAGATTAGTGCAGATTTTTAGAAAGCAACAAAATGAAAATAAAAAAAAAGAACAGACATATCACAAGGTTTTTCAAATATTAGTGATTTGATGAACTAAAGCTAATTTTATAATATTTACTCTGGATATACAAACCTGATTAGATAAGATTTTTTGAAATGAGTAAAACATTAAAAGTAATTATAAACTGTTAAGTAAATTTGCAACAATGCAACAGTAAACTTACCATGACGAACCGTTACTTTGTTGACTTTCAAAGAGGTTATTATTTTGTGCATGTTTTGTATCTTCTAATTGAGGTGAATCATCTAATTGACAAGATAATTTTTCATTTGATTCACTTTTAGATTTATGCTAAAATTATAAAGTTGCATGAAATGACTAGTCACTATTTTTATTATCAAAAAACAAAAAACACAAATCTATGGTTTCTTGGTTAAAGAGTTTCTATTATTACACCTATTAGTAAAATCATGTCAATGCAGCTGGTAAGAGAATATGGGGGAATGAATTTTGGTTAGTTAGCCAGACATCATTTCCGAGGATTTGTTTTCGTATCACAGAAAGTCATACTCAATTTATAATATTTGGTGAATAAGCTGAATCATGCAAAATATTTCGTATTCGTTGGCCAGATACCATCAACAACAACTTACTATGGTAGAGAACAAACCAGATTCCAGTGGAGGAGGAAATTTAGGAAGAAGCAGAGGAAGCGGATAGGACACACACTGAGGAAAGCACCCAAGTGCGTCACAAAACAAGCCCTCACTTGGAACCCTCAATGTAAAAGGAAAAGAGGTAGGTCAAGTAACATATTACGCTGAGAAATAGAGAAAGATATGAGAAGAATGAACGAAAACTGAAAAGAACTGGAAAGGAAAGCTGAGGACAGAGTTGGTTGGAGAAAACTGGTCTGCGGCCTATGTTCCATTGGGGATAACAGGCGTAAGTAAGTAAGCTCAATCACTAATTGCTGAAGCTTTTGAATGTTTACTAGCAATCACTAAACGATTGCAGAATTGTCAGCACTGTCGGATCAATAATGACTTATTAATGAGTACCTCACAGACTAATTTTTAGGAGAGCTTAAATAATCAGTAACAACATATCCATCATACTTACATAACTAAATTAGGATAAATTGACTATTCAAGAGACAATATTCTAAAATTCTATTATCCATAACTAACGAATTTTCGAACTTCTAGAATTACAAAACTGATTTTACAATCAAAAGTACACAATTTATAAAGTGATCTATTATTAAGTAAGTTTGGAGAAAATACAATGGATTGCAGTCGACAATTTCATGCACTATTGTTGTACAACAAGAACAGTATACATTATGAGATGAGGTAAATTCAATACATTCTGTATATAGTAGTTCTTCCACACACACACGCACTGATTCATATCAATAAATAAAACAATTTACAGGGTTATTGTGTGTAAGATTGTAAAGTCAATTTGTTCACTAGTGAAAAATAATTCCCATATTCACGCAAGTTCAATTGATAAGTGAATGAAGTAAGCGAATTATAGAATGTGACAGTCGAGTATAAGAAGCATATGCTAATCAGTAGACAGAATGATAATAATAACCAGTACACAAGAGCAAAGCAATCATATGAATGATTTTAACAACACTAATCATGATAACATGAGAAAATAGAAAGAATTATAGGTCAAGCCATTCATTGAATAATGTTAAAATAATAAAACTAGTTGTAATGACCATAAATTAAAAAAGAGTATGTGACTAAAATAAACAACTAAAGTGATTTCGTGAGTGAATAAGCACAAGGTCACACAAAGAAAATTCTATATATTCTGAAAACAAAAGAGAAAACAATAAAAGGTAAGTTATCAATGAAACAGTTATAATGGCATTGCCAGGTTATCTACAATTTTTTTCAGTATTGCTAAATTCAGATTAAGATGAGGAATAACGAGTGTTCTCGTACAACATGGAAGTCTGACATTACTCTATCTGTTGGTCACTCCGAAGGTAGTACCAGGATTCCTTGAATAACTGTTGACTAATTCACGTCTTCTTAATGCACTACTAGGTAGTTTGTATGAAAATACTAAGTATGTGCAAGTATTTTTCACTTAAAAATGAAATGGCTTTACATATTTTACACACAATTATATTGGAGAACATTTTCATCGTTTGTACAAACCAGTGCTTAAATGGAAGAATTAAAACGAATGAACTAGCAATATTTGTTGTTCTTAGTTAACAAAATTCTGCATTTTAATCTCATCAATGGTTCGGGTAAGCTGAAGAACGTCTTGATATAATGGGGCAAAGAATGCGAAAGTATAACTTTCGTAAATAGCGTTCATAGGACCGTAGTAGTTAGTAGACGTGTAGGTTGTTGTATTCATATATTGATCAATTTTTCTAGATTTATCATTAATTAGTCATTTTTCTATTTCTACAGCTCTATACTACTTACAACTAAGTTAAGTACACAAAGTAATTTTCTAATTGTGTGTCTGAGCAGTCGGACATATAAAGTAAATCACTCGATAAGTTTCAAGTCACAAACGAGTAGAGTACAATAAGGAGCTCATATGCTCCCTATCCTTATCTTCTGATCAGACACTGGGTAACCAACAGCACTAAGGCTTCGGTTCTTGTCCGTTGGTTGTTTTGTGAATTAGTAATAGAAGGTTGCCATTCCTATTTGTAATATAAATGGACTAATCAGACTGAAGAGTGGGAGATTATCCTAATATTCTCCTATTTTTACAGTCCAGTCATACGAAGCTCAACGTAAACGCAAGCATCTGCTTTTTTCTGCTCAAAGCGCTCTGTAATAAAAAAAAACTGAACAACTGTCTTATTCCTGGCGTAACAATCTACAGTAGAGTTAGTATCCACCATCACAACACGACATTCTGTCCTAGAAATTTGGATCTGTTATAAAAAATTGTATTTTTAATGATTGTGTGAGAATCGAGAGACCAACTTTTCCAAGTGCACTTTCAGTATGGCCCAGTAATTAGCCAATTCTGTTAATTTTATTTTTCATAATACCATAGTTAAAAATTAGCGGTTTGTGGTTTCTGATCATTACTTCAGAAATCCATCAATAAGCTAGTCCCTAATTAGCAATTAATTATCGTTATGGTAGAGGGTTTATGTTCACCAGTTCCCACTTTGACCGGTTAAACGATTCTAGAAGTCTCCAAGTGGTATGCTTATTTCTATACACAAAATATCACTCTATGAGTTAGGAGCAAGATAATATCTGAGTAGAATGTGCCGAAATCTGGAAACGATAAGGAATGCAATTTGCTGCAGAGTTCACACATCTTATGAGTATTTTTTGATGACACTGACTAGTGATAAGCTCAATTTAACAAGAGACAAATATAATGGAACCTAATATTATGATCAGGAAATGCTACCTAGTTATAAAAAAAGGTACAAAATAATTGTGAGATAATACCTCTGATAGGATTTACTAACCCTTGTAGTAAAAGTTTATGTATAAGTAGTTGTGTTAGTGTTATGAATCAGGGTTATCACTCCATAGAGCTTCATCCCCAACGGACACCAGCTATAATATCTAAAGATAAGGGTCAGGTATTAGGAATGAGGCTGCAGTTCTGAGTTCGGTTAAGGATTAAGAAACTTAGAGTTGGGATTTAGAAGAGTTAGAAGGTGCAAATACTGTTTAGCTTCACTAAACACTTGAGATTACATATTAAATTACAAGTAATTTAACAAACTATCTGCCTTAGGAGCAGGTATAGTCTGTAATTTAGCTTAAGCATTATCTTAAGTTCAGTTGGTGATTCCATAACAGAGATTTTTATTGATTTCAAGCGTTTAAAGGACCAAATATTGACCGCATCTTGGTTTCGATTGCTTAACTCGAGGCTATCAGTGTGTTATTCTGTTACTATTTTTGTTTCATAACGATCATATTTCAAATGTAAACTTTTGTTAAATGCTGTTACTTGGATAGATAAACTATGATAATAGTTATCCAACAAAGTATAACCCTTTAAAGGTCAGTGTCATTTTAAATTTTTTTACCCAATCCATAGGATTCTTCGAACATAGCGTTTGCCAGTACATACAATTTAGGTGTATTCGAAAGCATATAATATGTTCCAAATATTATACGAGTCACATTTACTTAGCTTTTCTGTGTACTCTTCATGGAAACTGTAAGCATCTCAACAATCAATTTTAAATATTTTCTAGTTAAATAAGCAAAAGATGAACAATTTTACGTTAAATTGTCATGTATTAAACTGATTACCTTTGTCCGACAGATTTGAACAATGTAAATTCCAGTGAGTATAACAACTGCAATAAGTATGGTCGAACATAGAACTATCGTCATTGTATATTTTTCCCATTTCACTTGACCAGTTTCTGTTAAAATCTTATCATTTACCGAACGATGCAGAAGTGATGGTTGGGGTGATTCAGCTGGAGTATCTATATTGGAATGTGTATTTACTGTATTCACAGTCTTACCACCCAAATAAATGGCGAAAATTCATTCAAAAAAATGTGATAATAAATATCTTTTTATCTTTAAAAAGAAAATTTTATAATTCCACAATTCATAAAAATCATAACTGAATATTCGGTCACCTATAATGTTTTTGTTGATAGAGACAGAAAACCGTGGACATCGATTTGCACTAGTCTGGTCGAGTACTCCAGTGGTAACAACTAAGATTTTGAAGTAGATGACATGGCTTTGAACCATACAAGGATCATTAGTTCCTCAAGACTTCTGGTACAATTTGGCGACAAATGCCACTTGGTATGAAACCTAGGTCCCAGGTTTCGTGCCAGTTATCTTTAATCACTTACCACTTTAACTTAGTGCAATCCCAGTCAGTTAAATTAGTGGTCACAATAAAGTTTAGTTAGTGGGATTTATTCAGAAGTAAAGGATAAAACAGTGATCAATCATAATTCAATAATTTTAAAGATATTGCTGTCTAACAAATATACTGCATTAACAAAACCTGATACAATGAGTAATCATCAAAAACATCACATGCATTTGATTCAAATCTATGACACTAAAAGACTAACTTGGATGAAAGGAGGAAATGCCATACGAACCTATTACATTATTGGTCATTTCCATAATTTATACTTTTGCGTTAATTCAAAAACCTATTCAAAGTCGTTAGAATTAATATTACCTGAGGAAGCTATTTCACATTCATTAGTAGAGGCGGATAGTGATTAGTAGCGAAATCCAAGGCGCGCATTTCGTCCTATTTGCGAATCGTTTTTAACTGGATATACCTACACCCTAGAGTTGGTGTTCACTCTGTGACTTGGACCCAGTAACTTGCTCTCAAAGAGTCAAACAGTTATCCATTTAGCCACTAATTCCAGATAGCCAGTAGCTTGTGCAATAGGGTGAAAATTAATTCATTTGTATTGGTTGTTTGAATTTTCCCATTGATATTTAGGATTGTAAATGATCAGTCTCTTAGGTATATGTGATGAATCTCAAATAGAACAAAATGCACTTCCTGGACTGCACTATTAACCATTATCCACCTTTGCTAATAATGTTTGTAACATAAAGGCAATCCTCACAGGATACCTACATGCTAAAGAGACTGACCAGTCACAGTCCTGAACATTGTGGTAGAGTTTCATTCTCTGTGTGGGAGGTTTCGGTTGTGGAACTTTCATTGTTCTTCGAAACAACATCATCAGTACAAACTTCAGATGGAAGTGAAGTATTTGAATTTCTCCATGTACGAACCATAGCTTGTTCTGTTAAACTCGATCTTGATTGATTGCTGTTGACCTTAAACCTGTCGTTGTTTGCACCTTTGTTTTGATTGTATCCCCCTTAGATCTGTTTCTTATGATTTTTATGATTGGTTGATAAATTGAGTTAATGTCGGTGTGTTTATTGATTGCTGATTGATTCAAACAACTAATATAAATGAATTATTTCACATTCAGTGAATAAGAATTACCAAGAACCGTTATGCAATGAATTACCTTTATTGTTGTTTTGCATGATATCAATGAAGTAAATTTGTCCATAATGCACATTGTATTATATAGTATACATATTATAATCCTAATTCCAACAAACAGATCCATTCGACTGATTCAAACCCTTTTGAAACAAAACTACTTATGGATATTTCGACAAACCAGTCCTCTTACGTTCGTAAGCAAAAATGACAGTTTTAGCGCTTTTGGATCATTGATGATATTCTCGATAAATTGTTACTGATGACAAACAAATCATAAGTTATCACGTTTTTAAAAAATAATACAAATTTCTGTAAGCATATAACCAACAGAATCAGCTGACTTACTTTCACAAGCCTCATTTAGCCTAATTTGCAATTTAATGTTGAATGATAACTCAACAATTTAAATTTATGCCTAGCTTGGATCAGTTCATGAAATTAACAAAACTTAATCCTAGTATAACATTCACTACTGTTAATAGTAAGTACTCAATTGACACCAAATAGTGTCACTTGTGTTTAAATTGGGTTATACTCAATTCATACTCAATTTTCGGTATTAGTAATAATTTATAGGTTGTGAAATCACTTAAAAGGATAAAAATTTCAAACTTACTCCACGACCGAACCCAACATCTTCGATTTGATAACCATCTATCGAGTTCATCTTTGTATCTGAAATCAAGATAAATATATCGAATGTAAGAAATTAATTTCTCACTCATGGAATTTGGCTGAAAACATATTTGATCAAAAGAGAGAAACTCATTTATTTACTGTGGATAAAAACCTTGTGTCTTTACTTTATTTGTTTACTTTATTTCTCCACTATCTACCATTGTCCTTGGTCAATAACCGCTTGACATTCAACATAGAATTCTCATGCGAGTGCGAAGGTCCTTGGTTCGATTCACGAATGTGGGGTCGTTGATGTGCATAGATGAAGAGTTTCATACTAGGACAAAACGGCCATCCGATGCATCCGGGTTTTCGATAGTAGTCTATTAGTGATCGATTCAGGATTTCAATGAAACTCAACAATCTACATAATCTCACACTGATAATTATCGTATGCTCTCTAGTGACTAGTTTCGGAAGGAAATTCGTGAGTTGTATTGCGAAGCCGTTTATTTCTTTGTTTCAACAAACCAGCTTGTAAACTCTTTGTAAACTTCTCAGTCATCTTAACTTGATATTGCCCTGAAATAACAATGGTCGTCAGCATGATTTTTCATATGATTTCTTCAAATTGATTAATTGTCAATTTCTAATCTTGGACTGGAAACAATATGTATAAATATGCTTAACTTCAATCAGTCTTTTATGTTATACTTTCGGTCGTTTGATTGTTCTTAAAAAAGTACACAACACACTGATCTCATATTTTATTGATATTGACAACAATTTCGTCTCATAAAAAACAAAATGAGTATCACTCATTTCGATGAATCCATTTGCATTTCTACAATTTGTGGTTTTATGCATGTACGTACTTTTTTAAAAATTTTTCCTCAAACTATAAACCTTCTTGAAACAATGAGTAATGATTGGAACATTGACTTCAATAGTGGAAACAATTATCATACTGAAATCATAATTAGTCTTTTAGAAAGTTGTTCTCTTAATTGTTTTATCGTTGTTTTTTATTTCTGGTTACTCTAGTCACTCCCCTTATAGAATTATTCGTTTTTTGTGTTTAGTTAGAACATATAGTTCCTTCCGCATTAAAATATCCTTATTCTTAGGTAAAGTGGACAAAACTATGTGAAATCGGTGTGAAATTGCATTATAGTTTAGTTTTGGAAGACGTCCAGCAGTCATCCAACTCAACTCAATAGTTCAGATAACAAAAGTTAAAAATCTTCATAATAAAAGAAAATGTAGGAAAAGCAGCATGAAGTATTTACTTGAATATAATAATAAAATATATAAATAATAAAAAATATAATAATAAAATAATGTGAATATATAATCCGAAATCTCTTTAGTTATAATGATAACAACATAATTTACATTCATTTCAATGTTTTAACTTTCCAGTATTAATACCAGCATTATTATCTGGAGCAATTCACTTTTTCCTCAAGAAGCTTCATTGGATAATCAAGTCAACATTTTTAGTAGTAAGTGAAAATGGTGAACGTAACGCCACGACATTTGCTTGCTTATATCAATACATATGGATGATTATGGACACACGTTCGATTGAAACAATGTGGAAATACTGGGTAGGGGGAGCACAAAGAACACTGAAGAATTATTTGAAGCTCGGTATTCAGGTCAATCAGTAATCAACAAACACACCGACATTAACTCAATTTATCAACCAATCATAAAAATCATAAGAAACAGATCTAAGGGGAATACAATCAAAACAAAGGTGCAAACAACGACAGGTTTAAGGTCAACAGCAATCAATCAAGATCGAAGTTAACGGAACAAGCTATGGTTCGTACATGGAGAAATTCAAATACTTCACTTCCATCTGAAGTTTGTACTGATGATTTTGTTTCGAAGAACAATGAAAGTTCCACAACCGAAACCTCCCACACACAGAGAATGAAACACCATACCAATAATCCATATAAGTTCAAGAACAACAATCTTTTATACAGTACTGGTCAGTCAGAATATATTTTTTACTGTTTGGTTCAGTTAAGGCGCTAATGAGGCTCTTAGTATGTACTCTTAAATAATCATCATGTTCAGGACAGTTTATTCTTGACTTGTTTACGTTTTCTTCTCAAAATATCGTGTCCTTTATACTCATTTACTTACACTGATATTTTTGATGAATAGTCCTTCGTAAATTAACTTATTATTATAACGATGAACAAACAATATTATTAATAAATGTTCAAATAACTTACTAAGCGCATCAACAATAGCATCAGCGGATACTCCAGCGCTAGATGGAACGTGAAAGTACAATACACGTCTCGATTTATCAAGGCTAAATTTTGTTAAAAGAGACCATAAAACGAGAAACAATGTAAAAAGAAAGATATCAGAAAATAATTTTATATCGTAATCGGTAATTATTGAAAAGTCTGTCATTAAATAAGAGGATAGGTCACAATCTCGTTCTAATAACCTTCTAACAAGAGATTATAAATATGTCATGAAAATCAGTCTGTGAAAACAAGGAACATGGTACGTACGTACATCAGCTCAAGTTGCCATACATCATTAGCACCCACACATGGAATTCTCATTTCAAATCACATAGCAGTAGAAAGTGTCGCACGATCATCGAGCATGGAAATGATTAGGGGTCAAAGATATGATTCGAGAAGTATAATCCAGTGAAATAAATTCAAAAGGAGTAAAAACGTTGTGGGGAATTCAGAAGATTAAACTTTGAGAGAAGACAATGAATGGATGCATCTGCGCCACTGCAAACGATTATCGACCATGTTATTCAGAGCCTCTAATCACCAGTGACGCTAGTCTGGAGGACGCCAACCAGGTAGTCTACATCTACCAATATGGTTCAGTTACACTTGTTAGCGATTTCACAAACTGGCAACATATTTTGGTTTGGCCGTCCCCCGCTTTCTCACAGCCTACTCCTACATTAGACAACACCGCCCGTCAAGGCAGTCGATGTCTAGGAATCTGTGTCACATGTCCCGACCACCTCAACTCATGAAGATTCACTGCCTTATCAATTGACTTTCCATCCCTGCCTAGTACCCTTATCCTAACACCAGTATTGCCTACTCGGTGGCTGCAGCAGATACGAGCAGTGATCCAAAGATACCTATGATCAAAAACTAGTAACCTACTAAAATACCCTACTCTTACTGGCCATGTTTCACACCCGTAAAGTAGGACGGAGTGAACTGTTGGGCAGTAGTCTCGTTCTTTCACTAGTAGACAGATACTTCATCTACGCCATAAGTGACGCAAGTTGACAAAAGACAACTGAGCCTTCCGTATCCTCCACTGAAATTTTGTCTCACACCAGGCCATCAGGTCTGGCGAGAATCCCGAGATGAGTAAAGCGGTCAACACGCTCAACTACTTCACTCACTATCACTAGTTCAGGTGCCGACACAAGCCAATCCTGAAGCGAGATTTCGTATTTCGAGAAGAAGAAGAATCGCATCCCGAACATGATTACATTGTTGCTTAGGGTAGTCAGAAAACTCTACATTTTGTCAGCGTCTTCACCATGTAGAACTATGTCATCGGTATATTCTAAGTCAACAAGGGAGTTTCCTGGTTAAAGTTCAACTCCTGAAAAGTCAGATGACGGAAGTTTCCTATCTAAAGCACGTCAATAACAAAGTTCAGCAAGAATGGAGTGATAAATTCCAATGACAGTTCTACATAAGCTCTCACTCAACCAGTAGTGTTCCAGTAAAGAGACTACAAAATAAACCGTTCAGTGATAGACACTGTCACAGAACCTCACAGTCAACAGTCAGATGCCGCATTAAGGTCATGGAATACAACTATTTTAGAACGTCAAAATATGTGTCTATGCTGTAGAACCTGTCGAAGGGTGAATATTTGGTCTGTACATCCACGTTCAGGTCTGAAACCATCCTGCTTTTCTCAAGTCTGCTCTTCAAGCTAGAAATACTACACCAACGGGGCCACAGGAGGTAGCAGTAAGAATTCCAGATGCACGAGGCATAAACGAAGATAGTTCTTCATTTTTACTTGGTGAGGACAAGTCAACGACTACTCGGATCTTGTATGAGCGTTTCGGAGATGCAGCATACATCGATGGCACGAGATTCTAGAGTCCTAGCTAAGGAAGCTTGTTGTCCTATTTGGCACAACGTCCGGACAGTAAAAGCTCCAACATGTAGTTTAGAGCATGGTTTTAGGAAACTAAGAATGATATTTCATGTATTCAAATTGTTAGCAATGTCGGCGCGAGGCGTTAACAGCATGCGAGAAAGATTAGTCGTGAAGGTAAGAGATTTTCTAAGAGGTGTAAGAAGGATTTGATTGTAGCCATTTTGGTCTCCCGGGGTGTTAGAGGTATGAAAGCAGACTTCATTTCTCGGTTTCCCACACCGTGAAAATGGGTTTTTTGACGAACCTGAAAATGAAGTTAGATTAGCGTTGGTTTCAGTGACCTGGGAGCATGATTACATAGCCCTGGGGACAATAGCTTGGGAACTTTTTAACACACTAGCTCTGGAAAGCGTACGGATTATTTCAATTTCAAACTCTAAGATTATCTCAGATATATATATATATATATATATATATATATATATATAGTTCTATTCATAACGTTAATCTAGGGTGAAAACTATTTTTCTATAAAATACCGAATAAATATGAGTTAATTGCAACATCTGATAAATAATGTTAGATAGCCATTCATATTGATCAATGAAGAATATTGCACATTTTGGTATATGAATCGAATTTCCATCCAACCCTATAACCTAGTTAATTGTAGAATCAGGACTTCAAATATACCACAGCATCGATACAATATAAACGATACCATTCTATAAAATAGTCCACTTGAACTTTTAAATCAACTATTATCCATATAATGACAATGGCATAAATAAACAAAATCAAAACAAAGCAAAATCGATACAAATCAAATCACTATTAAAATAAATAAATAAATAAAAGGAGGCTTAAAACTTACAAGAAAAATGAAATCGGTGATGTTAACTTTGAATCATGTGATATTTTCAATAAAATAGATTGAGCCTCTTGATTGGTTATTCTATAGAAATTGAGAAAAGTAGTTTTCATAAATGGGAAAGTTGAAGATTGAATTAGGTAGCTAAGATTAGTTGATTAGTTTACTGTGTATGTAATTTTCCATGAAAATATTGATCGAATATGATTTTAATTTATTACTAGTGTAGTGAAGGAGAACACAGGTGGGACAACCGAATTGTATTTAACGAAAATTACAGAGTTACTCAGTAAAATCGGAAAACCATATCGTAAATCGTTCATTTGCAAAATATCAGTTCATCATATCGAACTGGACTGTTCCTGTTGCAAAACATCAATCCATTGTCACTATTCATGCGTTTCATACCAAGTCCATTGTGTTCTAACTCTTCCTTTCTTGATTTTCCCCCATCTTCTGCTGCCAGACATTACATTGACACTCACGTCATATACTACTTATAAGTAGCTCGCACCACACAAGTAGTGTGCGAATACATTTGTCTTTTTAGAACTTTTTTTTAATGGAGTACGGTCATTATATAGAGTATTATTTCTGTAGCGAATTACTGTCAGCTGAACTGTATATTATATGATCAAATTATCTAATTGATTTGTTAACAGATTGAATAACATAATCTGGACTATACATAACATAACTTAAAGATGCTAAATTTCCTCCTATCAAATCTATTCCATTTATTCCGGTTAGGGTTAGGTTTGAGTTATTTGAATGAAGTGATTTAAATGTTAAGCTTTTATTTTCTTTCTGTACAACATTTTCATAAAAAAAACTTTCATTGAAATTTCGTGCAAATAATCTAGCCATGAAATAAATTTAAAGCTGAGGATTCAAATTATCTAGCTTAGAGAACATAATAATTTCAATGAAAACATCCATCTAAGATTGAAATCTTCAATATCTCCAAATACATAGCTACCATAGATTTAATAAGCTACAAAATGCTCTTCCAATTTTATATTTATTCACGAGTATAGTATCTTGTTAGGATAGATATTAGCTCAATATTTTTCGGCAGAATTTAAAAATCCTCCAATTTTATAAGATTAGTCGATATCTTGACTCACAATGACCTACTCAATTGGATCGCTTAATTAGTTTGTGGCAGAGTTTTGGAGGTTTGTGTTTTTACACATTTAAAATCATCAATCAATCATTGTTAGACCACCATTAGAAACCTGGAAGCACTGGCCGTCCCTTTCGTCCTGGTATGGGACTCATCAGCAGTGCGCATCCACGACTCCTGCTCCTGAGTTAGACATTAACACCGCTGGATGCCGGCCCAGTGGTCCAATGGTTAGGAGTGCGCGAACAATACCGAAGGTCCCGGGTTCGAATCCTGTGAGGTGCAGGAGTCGTTGATGATGAGACCCATACCATGACGAAAGGGCCGGCCAGTGCTTCCAGGTTTCTAATGGTGGTCTAACAATGATTGATTGATGACTTTAAATGTGTAATTAGTTTGTATTGAAAAAAAGTCAATTTAATATGAATACTCAAAATATCTGCTACAGATGTTATGATTGTTAAATGATTTGACGATTTTGTTTTTTTTCATTCACTGTCTTGTAGTATATGATCAAATTGTATGAAAAGGGCATTTATTTTTTATCAAAGCATTTGTTAATGACTATTCTGTGTAAATTTTGAATAATTTCATTTTCATAGTTATTCAGTTTTCAATTCAAACAAATATTTACCACTGTAATTGATTTGTTTTAATTTTATAAAAAAAATTTATTTTTTAGATATTCTTTTTTCTCTTTATTCGTTTCCACCCATTTATCTTTCGTTATCAAAGCATTTAATGTAGAGTGAATGTGTACTTTCCTATTTTAACCCACATAGATGAAGAAATAATGTATAATTCCTAACCAGATTTATATAACACTGATCTATATTCATAAATCGATATGTTAAATGCCTTGAGTGAATATTTAAAAGAAAGGGAAAACCATTTCTACGCTGTATGATTTTCAGTCTATTAGATATTCACGTAATGTATGAAATATACTTTATGGTAATATGATATCTAAAAGTAGATATATAAAATTATAAGGAGATAAGTAGTATCTTACATGCGTTACTTACTTAAAATTTTAGCCTAAATATTTTAAGTTCCCTCTGTAAGTTTATCTGATCAATTTATCTGTAGGCAATTTGTGATCATGAGTAATTTCTTGTAGATAAAATAATCTGAATGTTAATCAACACTTAACAGTTTAGCTGATCATCCTCAGTTATAGGACATGCTTGATATCTAAGAAACAACATTACTATCTACTTAGATACTCATTGAAGTAAAAAAAAGAAAGTAAAATAGACTTTTTAATACGTCACATTTATAACCCTTGATCAGTCAAGCAGTAATATTTGTTAGACCATCATTAGAAATCTGGAAGCACTCCTGCTCCTCGTAGGAGTCGTGGATGCGCACTGCTGATGAGTCCCGTTCCAGGAAGAAACGACCGTCCAGTGCTTCCAGATTTCTAATGGTGGTCTAACAATGATTGATTGATTGATGATTTCAAATATGTAAAAACACAAACCTTCAAAACTCTGCCCCAAAAAGTAATATTTGTATTTAATTCCTATTTTTACTGGTTTATAGAAGAACAAGAACATGTAAACGGAAACCATGACTAGACTAATAATTCATTCATTTATAATAGCTGGCACACATTAACTTCTTTCTTGGCTAGTGAGCTAGTGACATCAGATGATCTGTCTAGCTTTGATAAGGATATCAAAGATATTCAAGCGTTCAATGAACAAGATTTCAATATCGAAATATAATAGAAAAGTATATTTATTTTTGTTTGAATATTACAATAACTTACGGTCCATTTAAAAATTTAATCCAAATCCATCTACGTTCCAGCTGTTTATATGATCCAGAGCCGAATTTTCGTGCATGTAATCTACTGACTGATTTTGATGGAATGATTGTTTCGTCTTGTGGTTGTGTTTGGAATTCGGAAGATAATGTTTCATCAGTTAATGGATCTTACATAAATTTAGAGTGAATTGTTTATAATAAAAGAAAAAAACTATCAGTAATATGAAAGGTTATTTTTTTAAACTTCTAAGTGAACACTTACTTATTTTTGAAAAAAAAAAGATATCTTTCAACCAGGATGAAAATAGATAGATAAGTAAGTCGAAAAACAATCAGTAACAAAGTTTCCAGTTCTCGATGAATGAATCACATAACTTACAGGCTAATAAGCATTTGGTGACCAAGCTATGGAACAATTCTAGCTTCAATGAAATAAGGGTTTTCAAATACATCTTTTCTGTTAGCCTCTTACAAAAGTTCTATTGAGACAGCAAAAAGAAGTATCTGTTTTACTTCATGACGGAATTATATTAGTTAGACAAGTGACACATATTAAAATTCCAATTGCCTTATTTTTAAAAAAAGATCAAATTAAATAGCATTCCATTATAATATTCTGACTTTTAATATAGAATTTTTAAAGAACTAAACGCAAATATCATACAAATCACCGACAAGAGCAAAAGTATAAATAATACTTCCCTGTATAACGTTAAGAATCCATCATGACTCAGCGAAAAATCAGTTCATGCAAAATTATTGTGCGTACGTTTGATTACATAGTAATTTTAGTCATTTAAAATTGCTATAGACAGAAGTGCGAGTGGTCAGAAGAGTTGGCCGTATCATGTACGAAATAGAGGTAGGAGGAGATAGATGGCCAAGCCATCGGAATTAGATGCGCAAACGACTAGCTCTAGATCGCCCATCAAAAGAAGTGCATCTTGCGCTTGACTTCCTGCTAGACACCCTTAACTTACTGACAGTCCCACCACCAGAAAAAAACTCAACAACAAGCTGATTCCCGTTCCAGAATGTGGCCTCTCCAACAGCGGCGAACAACAGTCACGATACAAGTCGACCGAAGGAACGTACGTTAATTAAAGGGAAGGTGTGTTGAGGACGTTAGATCCCCAGAACTCACTTGAAAAGGTCCTCATTTCGGAGTTTTACGCTGAAATTTTGAATTTCCATGTTTTTGCGCTAGTTGACCTACAGCCTACATCTCTCCCTCCAAAAACCCTTGACTGTCATTGGTTGATGGATTATTTTAGTATGCTATTTTGTGGCTCTCCCAAGGGCGTCTCTATCATTGTATAAATAAGCTTGATTTGTGTGCTTAGCAACCTAGTATTTTCTGGGTGTTTGTAGAATACATTCTCTACGCCTTATCAAGACTTCCTGCTTTAGTAGGGTATGACACAGCGGATTAGAATAGCCTATCGTGTCACTGTATTGATGACCTTCGTTCCGTTTACCGAGTAAGGTGAACTCGCAATAGCATTCAAGCTTTTCAATTGGCGAGCATATCACTAAACAAACGAATCTACTTGAAATTGTGTAAATGTATTTTAATTCACATTCATTTACTAGTTTCAAAGTTTTGCGCAGCTTTCTACAATATGATATTTAAAATTCATTTCAAACCCCATCAATTAACCTTTTTGTTGTCCTTTAATCGTTCCGAATTAAATTAATCTAAAATAAATCATCTGTCAAAAAAAGTTCAATAAGTTGTTTAATAATTCCTAATAAATAAATTTTACCTAAGTTTTCATACAGAACAGAGTTCACATAAAGCTTATTGAAAAATATCAATTTAATATCACAAAGAATAATAAACTAAACTGATGTGAATACATTAATTTTTGATGGCCAAACTTGAAGTTGAATGGAGTTTGATTTTTTTAAAAGCTGAATATATTTGAAACAATCGTGAACGACTTTTTTTTAAAAATGTAATTAGTTTATTCAGAAAACATTGATTTAACACACGATAAACATTTTGCTCCAATAACTCAAGGTTAACTGAGTAATGCCTAATTATATGAAGTAAATAGGTGTTTGAATAGCAAGGGTAAAAGGTTTTATACGTTAAGTGTGCAATTTATATATGTATCTTTATAAACTTGAGTTGGAAAGATAATTTTTATTCGAATCAAGTAAGTTCTAATGAGATTTATAACTATTGACATTTCACTCTACTGACATTCGTTTCCTTAGTAGCCATGAAAAAATGAATACTTAACCTTGCTTTTTTTATATATTCAGAAAGAACCAAACTAATTCTAAACGAAGAACGATGGTGAATATCATAAAATGATTGTCATTTAAGAAAAACTACTTTTAAGTCCTGTAAATGAAAACAACATATTTTCCTAGTTCTTATCGAGAATCTGATTTTATCGATTTTGTTGAAAGGTCCTCATCAGTTCACGTAACTTGACACGATTTGATATCAATTATTCGAGGGCTAGCTAGGCTGAATAGAATAATGGCACTGTTTATGTGACACTAGTTAACCTGGGTCCATGTTCTTTCACAAACATAACTTCCTTCAAGATTACGGATAAATCTCACTGACTAGCATTAACGAGCACAAAGTTAAAGTTTAATTGTTCATGCTGATTTTCCTTTAATTATCTAACATTGTAGCACATATTAATATACTGATATAAGTGCCTCATGTAGCTTAATTTAGTACATGCATGTACACATATTGGAAATATAGTTAACTTAGGAATGATAAACTACCTGATCAATATAAAACACAGTAAGAGGAGATTCAGACCAAAAGTCTATAACTATTATGTATCTAATTCAATATACTAGGAAGATAGAAATTTATCTAACATATGTTGTTCTAAAACATTAATACTAATAAACAAAATATATTTCTAATTAGAAAAGAGCTCATAGTCTCACAAATAGCACAGAGTATATCAGTGAAATTTATTACTAACGTTATTCAAGCTTTGAATAATCAGCATACTTAATGAATTTTAAAGAGAAATCAGTTAGGAAATAGTAATATACTAATGCTGATACCAGTATAATTATTAAATTGAATCATAAAGTAGTATAGAGTATTTTCAACAAAAGCTAATTGTGGATTTTATTATTTGTAACATTTAAATTAATATTTTTATGTACTGGATGAAGAATATTGTGCACTAACAAGCTGTTAAAATACCTAGAGTATCTTTCCGTTTATTTATTAAATGGACTAAAAACATTATTTAAATAAAATAAAATAAATAAATAAAGTAAAAATAAAATTATACGCACGAAAATACCACGGGTAACTAGAATATATCACTATGATGGAGTTTGTTATCTATCTGCTATATCTAAGCCCCATTAAATTAGAGTCCCCTAACACAGTTTATGGACATAGTAAAACGACTCATAACCGACGCAATGTCCCAATCCGTCCTCCAAGCTACCAACTAGAACTATAGGAAGACCGGGCAAGGTACGTTGCTTCATTCTGTAATACTCAGGCTATAAAACAAATCTATTTATATACATGAAACACGATACTATGATGCACAAAACTGGAAAACACAGTATACACATCTGAATAAAAAGTTCATAATGGATTAACAGTAACTTACACCGTTGATTTCAAATGGTATTCCACTAAAGTTAAGACAAAAGCCTATCGTTTATTCTGATGAAAAGTGTTTATACCACTTTACCATTTAGAGGCGAATCAATTGGTTTCATCTTAAGACAGACATAGAGGAAACGTACTGCGCTACTTAACTGATTATAATTGGAAAAACTGAGTCCATGATTCCCCATAGGCTAAGAAATAGCTCGAATGATTACATCACATCCCATTGCATTTATTAATTTACATGTTTGTGTTAACACACATACAAGGGAGGAGCAATTGGACTTTGCGATCGAGGGTTACGGAACATGTAACTAAGTGGCTTCAAAATCAGTTAACGTCAGATGACCCGATAAAAGTGAGAAACAGAAAACCATGTTCATCAATTGCAAGAAGCATAATTGAAACGGGTATAATATCGAAATCAAGGCAGCCTTTAAAACATTGTATAGAAACGCTTAAGGACGAATTCTTAGGTTTGTGGAAGCCTTGGTTATTCATAAATTAAAACCTACAATATGTATGCAGAAACAGTTTGTTATAACCCTTAATTTACCCTCGTAATCTTTTAGTTATTTTATGGCCTTGACAAGTATTTATGTAATCAGCATGTTCGAAATGTATAGCGCGAATATGTCACATTTCATATAAGGAACTAATTGCTTTGAATAGAGAAGAGTATGATAACATTTGATGCGTCTACCTAAAGGTTAAGTTAGGACAATATCAACAAACTATGATTATTTGATCAATAAGTAGATACTAATTCACTATAGAATGGCTTTTAAACGTTCCTATTCCCATTTTTACTCGCCAATTCATAATAGGATTCAATCAGCGATAGTTTCAAGGCTTTGAACTACCAAGAGGTTTACATTCTTATCACTGTTGATCTAATCATTTTTGCTACATTCCTCAAACGTGCTGAGTTATTCTTCCACACTATTCAACTAGTTATAACTGATGTTAAAAGTCAAACTTTTCAACTGTTAAAGTATGACAGGATCATTTAAACTAATATGTTGAATTAAAGATTCATTAATAAATGTTTTTTAAACTGAATATGAGATAAATGAAAACAAAGTAGACTATTTATAAGTCATTAGTCAACTTTTCTAAAATTTATTCTCGAGTTGTTTGTATATTCAGTTGTTGAAGAACAAATATAATTATACTAGGTAGGTTTACAATTCACAGGGTAGGATGCAAATTTTCAAATTATAAGTTTAACAATACCTATAATAATCAACCCGAAAGATGTTACGTAACTAAAAACAGCTATCATTACAAAAACTATTGTCAATATTTGATGGTTCAGTGCATTTTGTGAGGTAGAATCAAAATCATTACTCTCTAATTAAATTAGGCGAGTAGATAATGAGAAGATATACCTGTCACTCTATGCAATAACACCAGGAATGTTTTTAAAGTCCAACTTTAAAATTATCAACAAATTACCAGACATCACTATTTGTATACATTTGTAAACAGTGAAGCTTACTACGAAATCTGTGATTTCATCATTGTCTTACTACTTACAAGTTGGACAGTAATCATTTGACTGTGAAAGCAATCCCTTAAGACTATTCTCTAGTGCTGTGAAATCCGGCGCAACCTATATGACTCAACTCTTTGACACTAGTTTGTCATCTGAAACTGTTTTTACATGTTCGTTGATTCGGTATAATCAATGATACTCGGCTCTCACTTGGAGTCACTTGCCAAGAATTTACAATGAGAACTTTATGCAAACGTACAAAAACAAGTATTTTTTAAATATGGTTCACCATAATTAATCTCAAATCTACACAGTTAACGTTTACCAAACACAGGTCTAATGTGTAGAAAATTTCTATGATTATTCACAAAATATTAAGCTTCCCACTCCATTTTTTTATCAATCTACTTTTTGCAAAACTTGTTGAAACGATCACAATCAAAATTATGAAATTAGAGCTTTGTGTGAAATAACATTCATGCATTCCTTCATTTTTCCTTAAACTTTTAATAACATAAAAACAAATAAATTTCATCCTTCAGTGACTTATTACAATCTTAGATGTATAAGAGATCAATATATCGAAAGGAAAAACTTTTTCGTGGTAATTTAAAATTTACGATCTAATTTGTATAAAATTATGAATGACTGATCGATTCATGGTTTCAAAAAAACTTAACAATCTTCACAACCCCGTAATGCAAATTATCTGTGCTCACTACTGACTAGCTTCGTGAGGGATCTCCGAGTTCTAGTGGGAAGACGTGATGAGTGAAGTTCAACCTGTTCGGGTGTAGATAGTAACTACCGAAGAATGTGTATGAGGTTGTGCAACTGTGTGAATTGATCAAGTTAGACATTAACGCCGTTAGATACCGGCTCAGTGGTCCGATGGTTAGGCGTTTGCCTACGATACTGAAGGTCCTGGGTTCGAATCCTGCGGAGTGCAGGAGTGGTGGATGAGCACTGCTGAGGAGTCCCATTCCAGGACGAAACGGCCGTCCAGTGCTTCCAGGTTTCTAATGGTGGTCTGAAATTAATCGATTCATGGTTTCAAAAAATTTAACAATCTTCACATCCCCGTAATATAAATGATATTAACAAGTTTACTCGTAAATTTATATAGGTCAATGAGTAAGAGTTACAAATTGAATTTATTACACTAGTTAGCGGTGAACACAATACAATAAACCACTAGTCAGTCCTATTAGAAAGTACGAGAAACATAAAAAGTCATATATGCCAAAGGAAATAAACAGTCGCTTACTAAAAGATCATAATGTATTATTATTATTAGTTTTATTTACATTTATTGCAATACAGAATTCTTAGTATATATTGTATATCTGGTAAATGACGGTCATTGTAAATTAGTAATGAATTAGAATAAGGCTGATAACAAACTTATAGTAACAGTGAATGAAACCAGTGAATTTTATTCAGAAGTGTAAGTACTAATTTTCGCATAACTCAATGATCAATGATGCCAAGAATGATAACGTGGAAAATACGGAAGCATTAATGAGACATTAGATTTGTTCAGTGACATCTCGGCCAATTGAAGTAACGTGTTAATACTTAAAGCGCAAATATAACCCACTGATACTTTATATTATTAAATTAAAAAAATAAAAATTATACAAACATCAAAACTCTATTCCAAAATCTTATAATTATGCCACAAAGACGATTCTTTAAAATGAAGTATAAAAATGAATTAGCAACTTTTAATAATGTTACCTGTTATTTGGCTATTCCCTAAGCCTGTAGGATCCAAGATGATCTAGAAAGTTTAATGAGGGGTGAAAAACAGCCGAATAAAACAGTAAAATGAATCAAGAATTCTCATCAGTCAGAGCATGAAAGACACTGACCGATTAGCAAACGTTTGGGTTATTAATGAAGAGCATAAGGTAACCAATCGTAGCATCGATCAAATGCGATATATTTACAGGTAAAAGAGGGGCAAATAAAAAAAAAAGTGAAACAGAGAATTTGACTGGTAATCTTTAGAATATTTGAATAAGTTAAGGTAGACAATAATGAAAGGATAAAACTTATCAAAAAGGCAGCTAAAGCAGTGGTAATAAAAGTGGTTGTATAAACCGTTTCTGCTCCCAGCTATTCACACTTAATTTATCCATAGAAAAGAGAAGATTTAGGCAGAAAGCTTTAGACACTTTATCTTTAATTATTTTTAATTCTATGTTTTTTTATTCATTATCTTATTATTTTTTAATCAACTTATTCGTTTCTATAAAAATACCTGTCATTGATTCAGTGTACAATTATTACTTATCTCAATCTTATCCATTTGTTTCACTATTTTAAATACTAACTGATGATATTTGACACCTACGATGGTTATTTAATTTATTGTTATTCAGTGATATTTTGTAAGCCAAAATCTTAATAGTTTACACATAAATGTCATTTTCAAATACTTTATATCTACTAAATGAATAGAGAAATTTTTTTTTTAGTGTAAATCATTGCATCTCAGAAGCAAGTATGATGAAATGCTAAGGGAAAAAAATAAATGTACATCTGCTTAAACTTTAAATCATCTGATTCATAAAATGAAGGTTATTCTTTGAGAATAATTTTATCAAACAATTCTATTGATGCATTAAACAAGTGAGAAATTATAAAAAATAATAGGCAGTAAGAGTTATTCTTAATATACCAGAAGTACGGAAATTTTTTGTTTATTTGAAACCACTGCATGAATTTTACTGGTCTATTATGCCTGTCTGTCTAACATATATCCCTAACATTAATCCCATTCTAATTAACTTTTCCTATTGATTAATCATAACATCAATGTTGATATCTAAAATTCACATAAATCGGTCAATAAATAATTCATAATAGCCATTTGAGTAACTTTAGCCGATAATTCATTCTCACTTTAACAACAAAAGTTTTTGGAAATTGATGAAAATCAACAAAAGAGATACGCAGGAATAATTAACAATCCAATCCTTTTTTACATGGAAGCTCATTAACATTCACCATCTAAGTGTTACAAAATATATTTCAAAATTATTAGTTCTCATAGCAAGTGTTTCATACCTAGCTATGTTGATTACAAGCCATATTTATCTAAAATTCTTTATTTGATGTAAGGTTTCATCATAAAATGATCACAATTATAGACACGATCATTCACAATCCACTAGATTGAATAGTTGAAAATAATTAATATAACCCTTTTCATGATCAAATAAAATAAAGACGATTCAGGGGAGAAAATTTTCATTTCGATGATTTCATTTACTGAAGCTGTACAATCGATTTTATAGTTAATTTTATTTTCTAAAATGATAGTCTGTAGTAAAAAAGAGCGTGAAGTAGTAATAAAATAAACTTGAAGTTTTGTCATGTCATGCAATAATAATAATAATAATAAGCGGTAAGTGAAAGGTGGTAAAGTGAGGATAATTATTCACTTGATATCTCTTAACAGCAGAATTAACAGAAGTTGTAATCATGACTAATCAATAGTTGCGAAATAATTTGAGTGGATTCAGATCAATAATTGACAAGTCAAACAAACAAACAAACAAATACAACAACCTGCTATTTTTAATGAATTGATTTTTAAAAGAACTTTTCTAAATTTCTGACAGATATCTGTACATTATAATTTAAACGGTTTCATTGGAAGTTTGCAAAACTGTTTTTTTTTCTTAGTTTATTGTTTAATACATAAAAATTTTTAAAAGAATAACATTGAACAGTTAGTTTCTAAGCAAACTGTTAGTGGAATCAAAATTTCACTAGTGCGAATAATATGAAATATCCATTTGCCGTTATTGTGATTAAATGATCTGAATTTTTTTTCTAGAAAACCCGAATCGCGGATTGGAAATAAAGTGAGAATTGAACACCTGTATCGAGAGATTACTTAAGTCTCTGTTTGTTAAGTTTCTCACTATTTTTTAACAGTTTACTGAAATAAGAGTTCTAATGATGGGTAGTACTGTTTTTAAAGTACCGAGATGCTCTTAACTATGAGTATATCCCAGGAATAGATTTTCGTCGTAATCTACTATTCAGTGTTTCTTAGTTTGAATATATCTTTATTTGATATAAAATTATAACACATAATGCACGGAAAAAAACTGAAATGTTCAAGCCTTTAGATTTAATAGGAAACCTGACCGTTGAAGAATTGAAGTGAATTAAAGCACATATTCACAATTCTGTGCTGCAGAATAGGTATTCACACGTAATTTGTCAAAATTAAATTTGGATTTGTCACTAAACTATCAAACTATTTCAAAAATTCAATTAACTACTTACTGCTTGACAGTAGATAATCGTCTTGATATAATTTGGTAGCCATATCACCATCGTCTTTGTTTGAATCATCGATCAATCTATTTGATAGTTCTTGTTCTCCATTAAATTTTCTATACTCATTAGTGTCATAATTTCCAGAAAAACGCCGTACTTGCTGAATTTTTTTACTAAACTGATCTAATTGTTCTTCATTGTTTTTCATTTCTCTATTTATTCCGTTACGATTGGGATTATCAATCCATCGATCATCATCATTATTGTTATTATTATTGTCATAATTCATAACGTCATGTAAAGTTTCAGGAATATAATAAGATTCTACAGTTTTTAATGGATTGCTAAGCATAAAATTTGGATATGCGCGATTTTTTCGTATATCACGTTTTATATATTGATTATGGAATTGACCATTAAGATTATCACTATCCTCTATATCATACTGGTATAAACAAAATGTTTTGGGATCAACAAACATTGAAGGAGATCTGTAAATTGTACAGTAAATGTAACACTTTACAATATTTCAAAAATAATAATTTGGAATTAGGATAAGAATGTATAGCATAAATATTTTAACTAAATAAAAACAGAATTAATATAATGTTATTGGCGATGAATTTCAGCAGATTATATTCAAGTAAAAAAGGTGAAGCACAAGACTTATGATATGTGTAGTATAAATTATGTTCTATTTGTCACTAAATGAAGATTTACATTTCTGATTACTAGTATATGAATAATAAACCTCAAAATGTATGTACTCATTCGGTGATAGGCACACAATATGGACATAACCTTTTTTAAACAATACGACTTACTGTGTATACTTGAATAAACGTCAATCGCATTTAAGAGCAAGGGAGTATCCAATGTACAGTGAAAATAAACCATTAAAATATACCCAATAACGTTAGCCCTTTTATTTTCACGTATTTTGAAAAACAAGAAGTAATCTTACTCAGTTATTTACAATAACCACGGTGACAGTAGAGAACCTAGTCATATCTACCGTTTGGTAAATGAAGAAGCAGTAGCTTAGTGACTTGGCTGCGTAACTTTCAACTAAAAGTTTGAATGTTTTAAAAACCCTTATCCTATCATGGCAAAGAGAGTTCAGTATTATTAATAACCCGTTCACATACCAATGTGAAAACCTGTGAAAACGAACCCGTAATCAGTAGCTGAATTGTAGTAATTAATTTATTAGTTGTTGGAATCATGTTCTGTAACTTATCAGTATTTGCAATGATATATATTAATTATATAATATGATAAGTAAGTAAGAATGGAAGGCAGAGTCTTTCAAAGAATGCTGATCGTCAACCTCTGTGCTCCATGAGGGGTCACAGGAGTAAGTAATCAAGTATCGGAAATATTACGTTAACTAAAGAGATTTTTGTACACTCCAATTTACTACTCTGAAACTCACAAGCTCTTATAATAAAACAGAGTATTAATTTTATCTTATGAAGGAGTGGTGTTATTTCAGATCTATGTTGAGGTATCAGTTCTCCCAAGGGTTCCATATGCTGCATATCCATGAATACCGCACGTCATGTGACCAAGAAATTAGGACTAATATTAACTATTTCAAGTCACCATAACAATGATTCAAAAGTCCAAAAATATCAGTTGCTCATATTTGACCTACTATAAAGTGAATTACTCAAATCAAAAACTAAAACATGATGGAATTTTTAGAACTGCAGAAAGTTTGTCTGAATACAAAGGTCTTAAAAACAACCCTAACACATCTTTTCCCTCAGTCCAACCTATTCTGTTGTTGGTTCTCTTAAAAATGAAATTTTCAGTGATAAGCGTTTCAGATTCACAGTTAGTCTAATCTAGAATAAGTAGTCACTTAAATAAATCAGACAACAGGAATTTCACCTAGTCAGGAGAAAAACATAGTTTGTGAATTACGGAAATGATAAAGTCAGTTCATTTGAAATACTTTACACAGTCATATAAGTTACTAGTATGCATCAAACTGAGCATTTTATTCATCATAATGACCCGTGAAGAACCTTAAATCTATTTGCGAACACGTATCCACCGCTAGCCTTTAAAATTCAGTAGTCTTTTATTCTGTATTTTTAAAAAATTATCCTTTGCATTAGGGATTTACTGCATAAAATCTGAGTAGGATTGGTTGTGCCTGTTCTCTATTATGAATAAAGTTTGTATACAACTGATTTTGTGTGTTTTGGGGTAAATTCTACTGTAATTGAAAAGTAGATTTGTGTGAGTTGGTTTCCATTGTGCATAAATCTTCAGTTTTCGTGTGTGGGTAATGGTGATATGAGGATAGTATTTTGTTATTAGACCATTTTACTACTGCGAATTTTTTGCCTTCGAGGATGTTTCCAGACCAAATTATATGTATTTCTCCGCTCATCCATTTTTAATGATCATAGGCTTGCTACCTTCATAACGAATTAACATTTTCGACTGCATTGTAGGCACAGTCGAGTAACTGGATTTCTGCATCACTGCTACTAAAATAATTCCTGGTTTTAGTGATCCGATCGATGATTTTTTCTATCTTTTACATATTATTTTTAGGAATGAAAGATATGTTGTTAGGCTTAACTTGATGAGTTACAAAGAACTTTAACTTTCAAACTGTGTGTACTGTAGAGGATTTGTGTCACTAGCAAGGAAAAGTAACAATATTTAATCCATTAATTTTGGTGAATAAGACTACATTGTGGAAGGATATATTGAGCTCGTTTTTGTCGACTACATTTTCCTAAAACTCAGCCAAGAAGTTTATGGGAGATTTATTGGAGTGATCAAATCTGTACACTGAATGCTTCAATTTGACTGAAGTTTATCCTGGTAAATTGTATACTACAAATTTGTGGAGTGATGAATAGAAAGAAAATCCATCTGCAATTAACCATTCAGTGTTTGAGATACTTATTTACAATCCTAAGAAACTAGTTATCTGGTAACTTGATGTAATTAATGCCCATCGTTATTCGTGACGGCCTTGCTCAGTCAAACATATTGCAAAAAGTGGCTTAGCTGGCTACATGATGGAACAACTCACAGCCTCATACATATCAGGTCGTCTGGTTTTAGACTCAAAATGTCACGTTTTGCTTATTCAAAGATCATCAGCCACTACTTAACTGATAAAAACTCAATAAATTCGATATTCATATACCCTAGTTCTGTTACAGCGTACCCATCAATATCAGTAAACTACTATAATTTGTATGTAAGCGAGAAATTTCTTATTTATGACCTATCTAGCATATTGTCTTCCACATTTTGTGACAACTCGACTGAAGATATATGTCAGACATTTCACAATTATTCATATATATTAGACCTCAATTTCGCATTATTATGCATCAGACTGAGTCGATTTATCTGTAAAAAAATCTATGGATATAATAACACATACTAAAGGTAGTAACCAATATTTTGGAATGGAAAAGAATGAACACAAATTTTCCCGAAAACAGGTTCACCTCAACCTGAAAAAAAGCTAACTTTTAAGAAATTAGGAACTTTAAAATCGTCACAACACCAAATGTCGGACGTGAATGAACTATTTCGGTTGGTTTTTAAACGAAAATACTGACTTTCAGTTGAATTTCTACTAACTTACTCAGATTCAAAAAGTATTGTTCTCAAAACACACTGAAGAGTCGTATCAGCCCAGTCATAATTCTGTGGTTGACTAAGCAGAATAAGCGATTTTAATTTTGATTTCTGTAAGGATTTGGAACCAAGTAGATCCTCATGAACATTATCAAGAACACATCTTCCGAAAAGCGAATCTGAAACGCTATAGAGAACCAATAACAATTACCATCGTGACATATCTCTCCACTTAAGCACACTTCTTGGTACAAACAACCTTAAAGATAATATTTTCGAAAGTAGTTTCGAAAGGCTTTACTTACCGACATAACCACCATTCAATACAACATTTTTTGCACTAAAACCTGCATTGCGCCTCACAATAATCATAACTATAGGTATGATTACTGACCATATTCGTAGACAATACATTAAAATTCAATAACACATTAGCAACAATTCAAAAATGAAGAGTTGTAAAACTTGAAAGTTCATTCAAAATGGTGCATAAAAACTAAAAGTGCTATACAGTTTGTTGTTTCCATTAGTATATATGGGAAGTAAACTGAACGCTAGTAAACTTTAAAATTTATATTGCTTTGAAGATGTGATCTCTCTTTGAATGTATTACCAAGGGGTTTTGATATTATAGGCTCTTGTAAAGGATTCCTGTATATCACACCACAAACTCCAGAAAAAATAATTTGACTTCTATTCAAGAGTTTTTGTAGAATATCCTCTAATACGATCACTACTGGGTGGATGGGACCTACATGATAGAATAATATTAACGGCATAATTCAGTATACGGTAAGCCATTATTAAATCGCCTTGTAACCTACGGTACAAAAGTGGATATAGGTTGAGACTCCTCGAACTGTTTTTGTAAGGTGACTCAGTGAGATATTTCACGTTTCTAGACCAATCTCACTTATCTAGTTCTAGTTTCTGCCCCTATTACATGATACAGGGACCCTCTGCTTACAAACGGTAAGTAAAGTGTCTTAAGAATTTTCTTAATCATTTCCGTCTCCGTCGGAAATGGCTGCCTACTAAAGGCTTTTAAAAAGAGAGGAGCCAATCCTCAAAAACTTTCATAAAAAGGCCTTGCGTGACCGGCCTCAATCAGTTGTCCCTTGGGCTATGCGGTCACGCTCCCAGGTCTCTAAGACCGACAATAATCTACCTTCCTTTTCAGGTTCCTCAAGAAACAACCTTCCACGATGTGGGCAGCCCGGAAGTGACAACCACCCTCATACCCGTAACAGCACACGAGACCAAATCGGCCATAATCAAATCCATCCTACACGTTCTAGTACCTCACTTGTCTATACGACTAACTCTTCTCACATTCCTTTATCACAGTGCACAGCTAATGCAAACAATTCGAGTTCACGAAGCGTTAATCCTGGTCTCCTTAAACCCCGTTCTAAACTACATGTTGGAGCATTTAATGTACGGACATTATGTCAAATTGGGAAACAGGCTTCATTATCTAGGACTTTAGAATCTCGGGCCATCGATGTATGCTGCGTCTCGCAAACGTGCATACAGGATCCTAGTAAAATCATTGATTTGACTCCACATTGTCAAAACAAAGAAGTAACTCGATTTACTCTCCGTGTATCCAGGAGCCTTGATGCTTGTTACGGAGTTCTCGCTACTGTAGGTACATCATTGAGTCGAAGAGCCGAACTAGCTCTCTTCGACTGGATCCCAATAGATAGTCGCTTGTGCGCTGTCCGATTGAACGGTACAGTAAGGAATCGGAAAGATAGGGACCCTAGCCGTTGCCTCTTCGTCGTATCTGCCTACAATACCACTGACTACAGATCGGAAGAATTAAAGAATGAGTTTTACAGAGACATCTCTAACCTTCTTCAAAAATTTAGGCGCTCTGATATAGTAATAGTGGCTGGTGACTTCAGTGCATAACTAGTTGGACTAGGTGAGAAGGAAAGACACCTGGGTTGATCCAATGGTGTTCTTGCTCAAAAACAGACAATGGCGACCGTCTGTTGCAAGTATGCTCAGATAACCGCCTACTTCCAGCAAACACTAGCTTTAAGCATAAGGGTAACCATCGATTGACCTGTCGACCCCCAAAGTCGTCTCAACGTTTGACCCAACTAGATAACATCGCCATTAGCCACCGAAGGAGAGGTTCGATACAGGACTGTCGCTCGTTCTGAGGCACATGTTTAGATTCAGATCATGCCCTAATGCGAGCTTGTATTTGTTTGAGGCTTGCTGGACGTAGGAAATACACCGTAAGGAAGCCTCTTAGGGTTTTACTTAATGAAAATAGGGCGAAGAATATATTTCAGGAACAACTAGAATGAGAGTTAGGCAATCATGTAAGCGATTCCCATCCTGAATTAGTTTGGAATGATATCAAAAAGGCTGTGAAAACAGCAGTGGTATCTGCTAGTAAGGTTAACCATAAGGCTAGGATGAAGCCGTGAATCTCTGTAGCATCCACTGAACTGATGGATGCCCGAAAACTCATCCCACCTGCCTCCGAACATGATGAAGAACGAAGTCAATTTAGGCGCAGACTAATAAAAAGCATACGTAACGATCGCGAACAGTGGTGGGTGGCGAAAGAGATGGAAAGGCAGCGGCGATCGGCAACAGTAGACAACTCTTCCGCCTTATTAAAGAAACCGGTATTAGGAACCCGAATGTGAGTGAGACTATCTCGGAAAAGGATGGTCTTATTATCCATTCTCAATCCAGGAAACTGGATCGATGGGCAGAACACTTTAGGGATCAGTTCAACTGGCCTCGAGCCACACTTCGGTTGCCCACGATCTCCAGTCATCCCGAATGGCAAATCGACCTAATTCCCCCTAGTCTTTATGACGTTGAGAAAGCGTTAGGAAATCTGAAACGAGGATGAGCTGCAGGTCCTGATAGACTGACCCCTGAGATATTTAAAGATGGTGGTCCAGTTTTAGCAGCTAGGTTGACTGAGATCTTAGGTAGAATCTGGGAACTGGACGTAATCCCATCCGACTGGTCTCAATCACTGATTGTCCTAATCTATAGGAAAGGACAAAATCTTCTCGTGACAATCACAGCGGAATAAGTCTAACTAATTTAGTATCTAAAATATTGGCCTCAATAATACTTCGACGCTTAACGAAATCTCGTGAAGAGCAGATTAGAGAAAACCAGTCTGGTTTTCGAGCTGGACGGGGCTGTATAGACCACATCTTCACACTACGACAGGTCCTGGTACACAGGCATACATTTAGGCGTCCTACAATAGTTGTGTTCCTGGACCCTAAGGCAGCATTCGACTCTGTGGATCGTGAGGTTCTGTGGCAGTGTTTGTCATTCGGAGGTGTACCAAAGAAGTACATTTACCTCATACAATCTCTCTACTCAAACACCACTGGTCGAGTGAGAGCTTATGGCGAACTGTCACCAGAATTCCTCACTTCAAATGGCGTCCGTCATTGATGTCCACTCTCTCCACTCTTGTTTAACTTTGTCGCAGTTATGCTTGTAGAGTTAGCATGATCATAGTCTGACTTTTCAGGAGTGGACCTTCTGCAAGGATGCTCGCTTGCTGACTCAGAATATGCCGATGACATAAACCCATTCGGTGAAGACGCTGACAAAATGCAGAGTCTTCTGACTACCCTAAGCAACAATGCAAGCATGTTCGGGATGCGGTTTTCCCCCTCGAAATGCAAAATAATGCTTAAGGATTGAGTTACGTCGGTACCTGAACTAGTGATAGGAAGTGAAGTAGTTGAGTGTGTGGACCGCTTCACTTATCTCATCAGTGCTGATGGCCTGGTGAAATCTCGGCTTGGTTACAGAATGCTCGACTAGTTTTTGTCAGCTTGCGTCACCTATGGCGTACGCGGTATATACGTCTGCTGACCAAAGGACGAACCTAATGCGCAGCTCTTTGCTCCGTCCTACTCTACGGATGCGAAACGTGGCCGGTGAGCGTAAAGTACATTCGTAGGTTGCTTGTCTTCGATCATAGGTTTATCCGAATCTCACTATCTTTACAGGTCTTAGTAGAATTCGCTTTCAAAATCTCACTACACAAGACCGATGAGTTGAACTCTTTCATCCCCATTTTTTGATGGGTTTGTAGTTCAACTAAGGTCGTCCTCATTTTTATACTATTCCCTGGAGATATGCGAAGTCACTCAAATATCGGTTTTATCTCGACTTCCAGCTCTTGTTTAAGAAATCTTCTTATTCCTCCGACCACTGGATTAGGTTTCAAAGTCTTCATGATGAGGTTTTAACATTTTCTTCCATCGTCTAACCTATTACTGATTTCGTTCTATGAGATCTCTTAGTTCAAATAAAGGAAATACTATTTGTACCAAATCTCATTCTTCAGTTCCATTACAATTGCAGTAATATGGAGGACGAAGCTGTTTGTATGTTGGTGATGCAGTTTTAAATACAATTTCACAAGTTAAATACTCGTCATTAACTGTTTCGTAAGGTCATTATGCCGTTACCTTGACATACATAACCCGTTTAGATACTATTCTGCCTCCATATATTATCAACCCTGTGGCAATATGCTTCTCACGGGTCATATCGTCCCCACAATAAAATCTGGGCCTACAGCGAACGTTGAAAGTTACCGACCTATAAACATAACTTCGGTAGTATCTCGGGTCATGGAGAAAATAGTTAAGGCAGAGTTACTACAACATCTACTTAGTAACAATCTGATATCGACCTCACAGCATGGGTTCTTGAGGTCCAGGTCGTGTGATACATGTCTTTTAGATTATTTCAACGATATCACGAATAAACAAGACAAAGGGCTTCTAGTATCTGTCCTTTTATTCGATTTTAAAAAGGCTCTCGATAAAGTCCCACACAAAAGGCTTCTACTTAAACTGAAGTCATTTGGAATCATCAACCCACTACACTCATGGTTAGCTTCATTTCTAAATGGGCGACAACAAATGATAAAGTACAACGACTGTCTTTCATCACCAAGACCAATAACCAGTGGGGTTATCCAGGGAAGTGTCATAGGTCCACTCTTGTTTCTAATGTACATTAATGACATATGTAATACTATTAAATTTGGAAGAGCATACTTATATGCTGATGATCTGAAAATAGTATACAGCTATAATCCTGAAGATCTGGACGAAAATATAGCTAAGATTCAGAGTGATCTTGATAACTTAAGTACCTGGAGCGAGACATGGCAACTGCCGTTTAACCACAACAAATGTGCCATAATGCATCTTAGCAAGCGTCACCTTGATACACCACTCTACTTACAAAAATGTAGAGTTCAGACACTCATATCAGCGCGTGACCTTGGTATTAGTTACTCTAAAGGCCTAAAATTCGAAGAACATGCCTCAAATATTATCTCTAAATCTAGACGACTAATTGGGTTTATAAACAAGAACTTCTTCACAAGTGAGGCTAAGCTTACTCTCTTCAAAATCTGTATAAGGCCCACACTTGAATATTGTTCATTCATATTTTCA